CCAAGGCCCTCTTCTTCCCTGCTGCCTCCAAGTTACTCCATCCAAAGGGCATAGCTGTGGCTTCTGCTGGCTCCTGCTCCATGTGCTCAGCAGCTCAAGCCTTAAAGCAACCACAGCTCAAAACGCTCAGAGCAGTTTTTTCTTTCTCTCATCCTGGTTTCTCCCACCTTCATGAATTCCATAGGTCTCTCCTCCTCTTCCCCTGAGCTCTAGCAGCCCCAGCTTGGCTGATGTTACATTTTTATAGTTGTAAATTGGTTGATTTGTGGGAGAGAGTGATGCTGGGGACTGCCTATTCCACCATCTTGACCAGAACTCCCTTCATCATTCATTCTTTTTTCAGCTTTTCTAATCTGCTGTTAAACCCATGCATTGCATTCTTATTTTCAGTGATGGTACTTTTTATTTCTACAATTTTTATTTGATTCTTTTTATTGTTTCTAATATTCTCCATCTTGTCGTTTAATTTCTTAAATATAATAATCAGCTCTATCCTCTGTGTTTAACTGATTTATTGTTATTTTTTAATTCAATGTATTTTTAAATGAGACAAATCTATTTAAAACACTATACCAAAAACTGAATCTACTTATCCCCACGCAATTAGACCACTGCAACAGAGGAAGTGATTCCCTGGAATAGTAATTCTTTTTTTTTTTTTTTTTTGTCCTCTTTGAGACCAGCCGCACCGCGCTCAGCCAGTGAGCGCTGTGAGCACACCGGTCATCCCTATGTAGGATCCGAACCTGCGGCGGGAGCGCTGCTGCGCTCCCAGCGCTGCATTCTCCTGAGTGCACCACGGGCTCGGCCCCTGGAATAGTAATTCTTATTAAAATGGCCTCAGAGACAAATGAGGAAAGCAGATAACTGTCTCATAAAGCTATAACAGATAGCCTCCATAAACATCTGGCATCCTCTTGATGTTATAACTAGAAATGGTTGGAAATGTACATAATGGGAACTGCTGAATTCTTTACTTAAGGTTTCATCAAAAATAGCCATAGTATGGACTAATGAATACAAAACTATGCTATCTACCCTAAGTGAATCATTGTGCAGTATACATGTGTGTATTTAAACAACATATTGTACCCAACAAAAATAAACATCAATAAAACTGACAAAACTCTAAAAAAAAGTTAATTTAAAAAGATGGCTACAATATAAACCTTTGTCTAAGTATTCCTTGGCACTAATAAGGCACCTGCATAGGTTCCTTTATGCATGGTCCTTATTCAAACATTGGATCCTTGACATTCCTTAGAGCTACCTGAAATTCTTCATTAGCTTCTCGGTTTACCATCACACAATGGGTTATACAAGGGATACACATGAAATATAGACCATCCATCTATGACTGTACTACAGACAGATTGGCTTTAATAAAAAGTTGATAAATTTGGCATCAGTCAGGATGTAAGTGAGTCCAGTTGTGTGCTATACTTGGTAACAAGAACCAGAGATTGATGGGGAATTTCTCTTTCCTTGAGTACACCGGGATCTTTATTGACTTTGTTTTGGGGGTCTGATCTTTCCTTTTTCTTTTAGCTTCAGAAACCAACATTTGCTTCATGTTCACATATTTCCTCACTTTCTTTTGCTTCTCTTTGCTCACCTTGCAGACTTGTTGCTTTCTCCAAAATCTCAAGCCAAGTATAGTTATTTTAAAGTCCATGTTTGCTGACTACAATCTCTGACTTTGGGGAATCTATTTCACTTTTTTTTTTTTTTTTTTTTTTTTTTTTGGGGGTTTTTTTTTCTTTTAGCTTCAGAAACCAACATTTGCTTCATGTTCACATATTTCCTCACTTTCTTTTGCTTCTCTTTGCTCACCTTGCAGACTTGTTGCTTTCTCCAAAATCTCAAGCCAAGTATAGTTATTTTAAAGTCCATGTTTGCTGACTACAATCTCTGACTTTGGGGAATCTATTTCACTTTTTTTTTTTTTTTTTTTTTTGTATGAGTGATTTTTTTTATATATCTAATGCCAAATATTTTGCATGAAAAAATTGTAAAAATTATTTGAGGCTCTGGGTGATGTTTTTTCAGAGATGATTTACTTGTTTCTTGCATGCAATAGGGTAAAAGCAGATCACTTTACTACATTTGGGACTGAGTGGATGTAAGGTTGGACTTTTTTTGAGAGCTGTGTCTGTTTCTTGTTTACCCTTATTCCTAAGATTTAGCCCTTTGAAGTCCCAACTAAAATCCCAGGGCATTTTCCAGACTCCCCTTCTTTGTGGCCAGCCTATATTTTACTCCGCAGTTCTCAGAGATTGTCTGTCCAAAGCTCTGTTCAAATTTCTTCTTCTCAGCCAGCTTTTTATTTAGCAAATATCCTAAGGAAACAAACATCATCAACTGTTGGACTCACCACTTTGGGACTTCACTTTTCTCTGGGATTTTGGCCCTGCGTGTTCTTTCTTCCTTGGCATATGTAGAGCTAGGGCTGGGTCTGGGGCTCACAGACCCCTCAAGCCCATTGTCCAGACTGGGTGATAAACCCTTCACACACAGGTCTATGAGCTAGGTAACTGGAAAAAGGTGCTTGGAGCCTTGGTTGAAGAAAGAGTAGTCTTTATTCAGCATACACACACACACACACACACACACACACACACACACACACGAGTCTCAGAGCTCGGCAGTCCAAAAAGAAAACTCAACTGCTACTGGCAAAGTCCAAAGAAAAACTAAGCAGCTGCAAGCAAAGTAAACATCCTCTATTTTTAGACGGGAGCTCGCTGCCAGCCAGCCAGGCTGCTTCACAAACTCAAGAACACACAATAGCAACAAACTAGAAAGATACATTGGTGTGCATGCACACTAACTCCACCCACACACAACTTATTTACAAAGAATATACTGCACCACCCCCAACCAGACTAGAGGCAAGGAGGCCTAACTAAACTATTCTATTTTCCTCACAGTATATTTCTGATATCTTCATATAAAAAAACTTTATTTAGTCCAGCTTTTCTACCTCTTCTTAGCTGGAGGATTAGTCTGAAGCAAACCAGTCTACCAGCGCAGGAATGGGTTGGCATATTTTCTAAATATTTTGTGAAACATGTTTCGTGTCACTAATAATATAAACATTATTTTCAAAAAACACTGTGAATTCCTACAAATATTAATATTACCTAAAGTATTAATAAAACTAAAAATTATCAAATCAATCCCAATATTTTTTTACATTTTATTTACCATCAATATTACCGTAATTATATTTTGAGTAGTAGACAGAATGCTTGGAGTAAATTATACAATAATTTTGAGGCCCTATCTTTATTCCATTTAAATTTTGTTTCTCATAACAACCTCCTATATTACTGGGCTTTCTGCACTGCACAATGTCTAGCCACCCTGGCCTGTTGACCAGGAGTATCACCCCAATAATTTTTAACAAGCAAAAATGTTTTCACAAGTTTCCAAAATACCCTTTAGGACTCAATAGAGCCTTTTTTTTTTTTTAAAGATGACCGGTAAGGGGATCTTAACCCTTGACTTGTTGTTGTCAGCACCATGCTCAGCCAGTGAGCTAACCGGCCATCCCTATATAGGATCCGAACCCGTGGCCTTGGTGTTATCAGCACCACACTCTCCTGAGTGAGCCACAGGCCGGCCCTGAGCCTTTTTTGGAAACCCTACCTTAGATCTATAAAAACATACCTGAAGACAGTGTATGTGTGGATCCCAGGGTCATTCTTAAGGGGCCAAAGGGTAGTATGGACCAATCGCAGTGTGTGTTACATTATCTCCACATCTGCACAACTCCTAAAGCCATCCTAAAATCTAGTGAAAGCAAGTGTTACTTGAAAATCTAGTGTTACTACAGTTTATAAGAAGGGGTGCTCATAAACTGGCTGGATTAGTACTTCAGTGATAATGACTGTGAGAAAAATAGAATAGTTTAGTCAGGCCCCCTCACCTCAGGTTTGGTTGGGGGTGGTGCAGCACATTCTTTGTAAACAAGTTGTGGGTGGGTGGAGTTAATGCCCATGGGCACCCATGTCACTTTTTAGTTTGCTGCTATTCTTGTGTGTTCTAGAGTTTGTGAAGCAGCCCTGGTCAGCAGAGAGCTCCTGTCTAAAAATAGAGCATGTTTACTTTGCTGGCAGCTGCTCAGTTTTTCTTTGGACTTTGCCAGTAGCAGTTGAGTTTCTTTTCAGACTGCCTAACTCTTAGATGTGTGTGTGCTGAATAAAGCTTACTATTCTTTCAACCAAGGCTCCAAGGACCTTTTTCCCTTTACCAAGCTCATAGACCTGCATGTGAAGAGTTTGTGACCCAGTCTGGACAATGGGCATAAGGAGTCTCTGAGCTCCAGACCCAGCCCTAGCTCTACAATGACCTTTAGTATTGTTACCTACCAGGTACCAGGCACTAAACTGATTTAATCCTGTTATCTTAATCCTCTCAACAACCGTATAAAAAGAATTTATTATTCCCAATTTAGAGATGAGGAAACGGGCTCGGGAACGTGATTGCCCAAGAATTTAAAACTATTAAGCACTTCAGTGATTCCACAGCACTCTGTTCTCCTCAAGGCTTCCGGTCTCTTTAAAGCTACTCCCCCTCCCCTCTCCCCGCAGGGGTAGAAGGAGGTAAGCAGGTTGGAAGGACTTGAGAAGGAGAAATGGGTCGAGAAGGGTCCTAACGTGCAACTTGCTATCAGCTCAACTCCGCCCCACTCCCCTGCCCTAGGCGTTGCCCAGGGAGCCCACTTCCTTACCTCGGCACTGCAGCGGCTAATCCTAGCAGCCTGGACTTCGGGGGCATTCTGAACCCACTGTCCCTCACTCTACAGCAGCACCTTCCTCGTGGCCCAGTTTCCAACGCCCTGGGCCACCCGCTCAGCCCCGCAGGCCCTACAGCCACGGGTCCAGCAAACCCTCCACTCCCAGCCCAGCGGCTGAGCTCACGATTGATTCCCTGGGCTCTGGGCCCCAAGTGACCGGTTCCCGCCCCCAGGTTGGCTCCGCGCGCGCCCCACTTGCTGCGCAGGCGTGCTCCGTTCCCTTGGCAACGCGGTACACAAGTGCTATCCCTGGCAGCTCACGATGTGCTTCGGCAAAGCGGGTAAGGGGGGCTTCGGGGGAGTGTGGAGTAGGGGGTAGGGGGAAGCGTAGGGAGTGGGAAAGACGAAGCGGAAGGAAGTGCAGTCACCCCGCTCCAGGGAGCTGGGTCTGGGCTTTGCAAGAGCACTGTCGAGCCCTGTGCTCTGTCTTCCTCCGACCTTCCTCTCCCCCAACGCGCTCACACGGAGGTGCCTTCCCTAATACGGAGTTTCTCTTCTTCCTTATTCTTTAGAGACGTCGAATAACTACTCCTTTGGAACACGTCAACAGAGGAAGCTCTTTCCTCACTACCATGCCCCAAACTTGTTGGGGAACAAGTTTCTTCCTCTTAGGGGATCGCCCCGCAGAGGGCCTGGGTGTTACATATTAGAAGATGTGAGTATTCATCTCCCCTCGGGTGGGTCTCAGTTCTCTGGCTGTCGAAGTATACTCAAGTTTCGTGGGGGAAAACGCTACCGGTTTTGTGATCTTTAGGGTCCCAATATGAGAAAGTGCCCCGGTCTCCTGCAACCGGCTGTTCGAGCCAATGCTGGAGATTAAAGGACCATTGCTCCCACTTTCACATCCTTACTAAACGCAAGCGTTGCCATTCCCACCTCCAAAGGCTTGTGAGCCAATGCTAGTTACCTTGCCATTAGTCCAAATTCAGCTCCATGGGGCTCAGAAGACTGGTTTCATTGGAATACACAGCAAAGTCGTTTATTCTGTCCGTCCACATCCCTTTGCAAAGTTACCTGTTTTACTTGTGTAATTGTGTGGTCTTGACTTCAAAGGAGTCAAGAAAGAAAGAGCAATCTCTTGCAGAGAAGGTTTGGATGGCAACATTCTGAGTTCAGTCCAATTCGATGGCTGTAATGTTCTGACTAAGAGTTCTTGCTGTTGTTTCTTTGTTTTTTTAAATACCACTTGAAGACGTATGGCTTGGCATACAACCTAACTAAGATACCGACGAGTATAAAAGGATATACTTGTGGAGCCAGAACAGCCCTGAGGTTTAAGCCAATCAACAAGGTAATGTGCTGGGATTTTAGTGTGACCCATGTAGCTGCATGTATCTACATTGGAGAGCAAAAGGCAGGAAGAATATGCCCTGAAATTCAAAAAAATAGGCATTTCGGCAAAAGCTATTAAGAAGCCCATTTGAGAGGCTTGGGCCTTGGCACTACAAATGTGTATGTGGGTGTCCTGGGGAGAGTGGAAAACAATTACTCACTGAAGAAATGGTCCCAAGACATGGCTTCAGTGCTGAGATGCCCGAGGTTAAAATACTGGAAGCTGTGTTTGTGAACCTCACATTATCTTGTCAGTTAAAAAACAAATTCCAACTTTTCCGCCCTGTTTTGTGATTGGATCTCATGTCTAAAGACTTCAGTATAGGATCCTAATCTCTTGTTGGATATTTTCCTGACACTCAAGGGGAAGGGATACTGGCTCTAAAAAATAGCTCTGAGTAGGGTGGTGGGGGTGGTGGGGGTAGTGGCTGCAACAAGCTGCCTCGGTTCTTTACCCATCCTAAGTTTTTTCCTACTACCTGTGCATTAAGTACCCTTAGGTAGCTGTACTCCCATATCTTGGTTTTCTACTTACCACCTACTGTAGGCCTGTTTCCATAGCTTAAGGTGGCTGAACCATACATAGCAGATTTATGAACAGGAAGAAGATGATTTTGTTTTTCCTACCTGGAAGGCTTTATGTTTACATATGTATATCACCCTCTAACATACTGATCTTTTTCTTGCAACAGGATATGACACCTTACCCAGGCATGTACCAGAGAACAACTCCTCAGGAGGAAAAACACAAACAAAGTTTTGCTCCTTTTAATGTCTTGATGCCTCGATTTAGGAACTACTCAAAGGACACTTATTATCCTGGGTATGTTTCCTCTTTTCTGGTGTACTTCAACGCAAAGCAATAGGAAAAGAAGTACATAAAGAAGGGGCTACATCTAAACCATCCCAGTTAAATAAGAAACCACCCATCCTTTAAGACTTAACCTCTTGCCTTTCAGATGTCTGGCACTGTAGAATTGTAAAAATATAGTTATTTATTCAGTAAATACTTATTAATGTACCAGGCAGTTTTGTAGGTACAGAGATTTTACAGTAAACCCATCACAGAAGGCTCCTGATTTCTTGGAGCTTAAAGGATTCTAGAATACAGATGGATGAGAAGCAAATAGACAAGAAAATATCAATAGTAATAAGGACAGTGACTATATAATCTATTAGTCAATCTGAGGCACTTCTGACAGTGAAAAGGGGCCTATTAGTGATCAGGACAGTAGTCATAAGCTAAGACTGTCATGGTCAAACCATGAAGAACGGTGACCTGATGATGTGCTGTGAAGAAAATAAAAAAGGATGGTGATATACTAGGAAGTGATGGGAGGGACACTCCTTTAGCAAGGGTTGTCAAGAAAGGTCTCTCTGAGGACATGATACTCGATCTGAGATCTCATGACAAGACCGAACCAGCCTTGTGAAGATGTGGGGACAGCATTCCAGGCAGAAGGAACACCAAGTATGGAGGCTGTGAGTTGGGAAGGAATTTGGTGTGAGGAAGAAAGAAAGAAGGCTAGTATAGCTAGAGTGTGATAAGCAAGAAGATGAGAACAGAGAAGGAGGGGCGGGGACAGAGCATATGGCCTTGCAGGCAATGGGCTCGTTCTAAATGCTTTAGGAAGTCATTCAGGATGTATGCAGCTGTAGGGCAAAGGGTCAAGATCCCTTCTGCTACTGATGAGAAATCCAAGGATCAGAGAGTGAATGTGCCTTTCTCAAGCTTGCATTAAGGAAGTGGAAATGTTCAGTCTTGACCCCGATGCGCACCCTAAGTGTTCTTGCCCCACAGTAAGGAGTCTACACTAAAAGACAAAGTGTTATGAATAAAGGCAATTTTTAAGTAATCCTGTTGCCAAGAAAATTTAACTGGTTCTGCTTTGCTGCCCTTAGAGTGAAGACAGATTATTGCTGCACTTTTATCGCCAGCTTCAAATCGCAGGCAGTACTAATCCATCACTGTTGTAGATCTCTTTCATCACCTACTACTTCTGGGATCTTCTGGTCTCTCAGCTTAGGATACTGAGTTGCAGAAGTATTTCTTAAACTGGAGTCGATCTTTACTCTAGCTGGATGTCAAGACTGGCTATCCTTAACACTAACATCTAATTAGAAATATGTGATTAGGCAAAGGAACCGCATGCTTGCCCAACATTAAAAAGCTAATTAGTCTGCTACCTTTTCCCAAAGGATTAGGACTAGTTCAAGGATGACAACGGTACTGATGGAGTTCATGTGTGGTCATTAACTCATTAGATATATTTATATTTTTATTTCTAGTCCTGGCACATACAACCCAGAGAAGAAACCACCTCTAAAAATTGCTTGGCCAATGAAATTTGGATCTCCAGACTGGGCTCAGGTTCCATGTCTACAGAAAAGAACCCTGAAAACTGAGGTAATGAGACTGGACTTCTGCAGAGGTTTCATATGTATCAGGGATTCTTAACCAGGAGTCTGTGAATCAACTTCTTGGTCCCCTGAAATTACTATAAATATTTATACAATTTTGTGCGTATATGAATATGAGGATATTTGGGGGAAGTTACACAATTTCGTTAGATTTTTAAAGGTGTATATGACTGAACAAAAGTTACATTTCCTTATTTGATCCTTAAAAATCTTTTATGATAGGTATAGGAGAAATATCTCTGTGTGACAGAGGAGGACACTGAGGCTCAGATAGATTAAGTGATTTGTGCAGCTGGAATTCTGATCTGCGACTCCTAATCCAGTGCTCTTTTCATCGCACCTCTCAAGTATTAGATCATTAGGAAGCTGTAGAGCATTCTGGTTAAGAGCATGGATTCTGGGGACAAAACTGCCTGGGTTCAAATATCAGCTCCCATATTTGCTTGCTGTGTGATCTTGGGCAAGTCTCTTAATTTTTCTAAGCCTTAGTTTTCTGATCTTTCAAATGGGTATAATAATAGAATCAATCTGATAAGGTTGTAAAGATTAATTGAGATAACATGGGAAAGCATTTAACACAGTACCTGATAATATAATAAATACTCAATCCACGTTAGTTGTCATAATTCCAGAGGTGCCATTGTTTTTTCCTAGTGGAACTTTGAATTAACTTCACAAATATTTTTAAATGCCTAATGTATTAACATCCTTGTGCTAGGGCCTATGGATAACATTCAAAAATTAAACATATGATCCTTGTCTTCAAGAAACCTACCAACTACTTGGAAATTTGCCAAGTGGCAAATAATTCCTACCTTGATATATACCATCATAAGATGATAAAGGTTAGATGTACATCTGAATGTTGAGAGAATCACTAAGGCTAGACTACTGTGGGGTTCAGGTTCAGCTGGGCCACATATCTACAAAGTGCAGTTCTATTTTGCAAAGAAGACCAGAAGCAGAGGTTCTCATTAGAATATGAAGCTAGACAACATTCTTTCATTGCAGCTATCCACAGACAAAGACTTTAGAAAGCATCGGAATCGTGTAGCCTACCTAAGCCTGTATTACAATTGAGAAGTGGTGACTACCTTCACGTGCTCCTTCTGACCACAGAATCTCCAAGACTGAGGACAGAGCTGCTCTTCTCCCTCTGCATTACTGTGGCCTTCTTGTCCGCCAGCATGGGGTCCAGGGAGGGGCAGGGGGCTCATGACTGCTGTATGAGAGCATAAAGACTACTTCAGAGTGTTCCGTCTCCATCTGCTGGTTTGTGATATATACATATGTAGATGGGTCTAGGGGTTCCTGCTCAGTGCTTGGCTGGGTTGTTTCATTTTACTGAAATACTTGTGGGTCCCTGCCCTCTAGCTCTAACTCCCAGTCACCAGTTTTAGAAATTCTACCGTAGCCATGGTGCAGGAGGCTGTTGGCCTGTACATATCAGGGGTTTGGATGGGATTTGGGCTAGTTAGTTACAGAGGATACTTAAATGTAGATTAAAACATTTATGTTTTAGGTGCTCTTCCAAGTTTTTGAGTTCCCTGGCATGGAGTGGGAAGGTCCTGATTTGGCTGCCTTTGCCATATTGACGTAAAAGTCACAGAACCAAAAATTCCCCCTTTCCCATTACTCATCTGTTTAGTCTGTTAACATATATTTTGAGTCCCTACTAAGACAGGGTGATAATCACTAGAGATATAGCAGGAATCAAAATAAACTCAACTCTTAGCTTCTTGGGCCCGGCCTGAAGTCTGAGGAGGAGTCCCCAGGGAGGCAGGTGACTTGGGACTTCCCCCCAGTCTGAATGACACCCTGAAGCTTTACAAGTTAGTATGCGGGTACAAAGGTCAGAACCCACAGCAGCCACATTCAAAGTACTGATCCAGACACTCTGGCCTGGAAGGTAATCCTTTTCCTTCCAACACCAACTGAAATAACTCAGGTATAGTTCATTCTGCATTGGCACTAAGTGTGCTCTCCCTTATCTTTTCATGGGAGGAACCCACAGGGGCATCTTAGTAATTACCAGAAACGTGGCAAGTTGCAAGCCTCTGGATACCAAATAGAAACTCCCAGTGGCTGCAGACAAGCTCTAGCCTACTGTAACCTCGGGGCCACCCTAGTGAGTGTTAGCTGGAGAGACTGGCAGCGAGAGGCGAAGCTTCCTGGGTGCATGCTGCTGAGGGGGCCTAATTTTTTAAGGGCCAAGATCTTCTGAAATAGGACAGAAAAGTCTGTTTTGGAGACCAAATTGAAATATTAAAATAATAATAAAGATACCTCAGGCTAAAAACTTACCCAATATATAGGCTTTAATCCGATGATTTAATGATTTCTATTAGCTTGTCAAGAAGTATTTATGATTGAAATAAGTCAGAATTAACTGTTATCACCTCTTCCACACACCTTCCTACCTTGTCTCCCTTGGATCCACACACGTGCAGGTTTTTAGAGGTGATAATTTAGTAGTCATTATTCTCTCTCATTCAGGGTCTTGCAAGGTCCCCCGCATTGGAGGATATGGACAGGGGTGGTAAAATATCTCTCACACTGTTTGTTACTACACTCAAAGCTTCTCCCAGGGAAGGGCACTCTATTTTCTAAAGTAGTAATCTGATTTGATAAAAAATAAACTTTTAGTGTAACTTCACTTAACCTTCAGGGTCCCGTAAAATGCTAAATTGTATACACAAGTACTTAAGAAACAGTACGATGAATAATTCTTGTTGTGCCATATTTGTTTTACATCTGGATTGGCTTCGAGGTGTTTATTGTTTTTTTAGGTTTTAGTAGACTAGAGCCTTACATGACGCTGTTTTAGTGGGGTAGGGCTTCCAATGTGATGGATAGGTTGATGCAATATGTAGATGGGATGCAGTATCAGAGGATGTGGTTTGACATGCAGCACAAGAGAATCTGTGACAGTAGAATTTGCAACATTTTTTAACTTAAGGCCAATTACAACACTTGCAATTCTGGTCAAAGATCAACCTTGGGCACGCTGGAGGTAGAAGGTCTTGCCTTCCACACACTGGTAGGACTTGGTATTGTCTTCAGGATTACTATAGATGCCATCTGCTTTACCAGGACAGAAACCTCCATCTCCTCCACTGCCCCTGTCACCGCCTCCTTGTCCACCACTGCCACCACCTCCACCAATATTGGCACAGAAGCCTTCGCTTCTGGGTGTCACCGGTCGGCTATAGCAGGTGTTGGTGGCCGTGGACTACATCCTGAAAGAATGAAGAGCATTTCAGAGCATCATCATAAGCTGGTTTTGTACATTAGAAGCAGCAAGCTCCATTCATTCTTCCGTATCAGTTCTGTTCTCAGAGAGCTTGAGCCCGGTGACGGTTCCAACTTGTAGTTGGGAAGAAATGTGACAAGGGGACAAAAACTCAAAGCTGAGAGGAGGGGAACAAGGCCTGCTGGAGTCCTAGTAGGATGTCAGCCCTTGGATTTCATTCTAGTTCCACTCAAGGAGAGAAGAACCCAACCCTAGAGTGATAGGACAAAGGACTCTGTTCTTTGGGGGGCTAATTAATATTTTGGTTTTTGTAGAAGAGACTTATCTGTCAACATTTCTGTCGTTAAGTAATATATTCGGATTTTTGTCATTTCCTTAACTTTTCTTCCCCAAGTGTTATACTTGGATTTTTGTCATCTTGTTATGCTTTATTTCTCATGATTTATTTTTAGTCATTTCTTTTCAACATTGTTATTTTGTTTCTTTTGTCTCCCTCTGGTGATTCAGAAGTTTCATATTTCATTTTACTCTGCTAGTAGAATGCTCTCAACCATTACAATTTTCTGCCTCTTGCTCACTGCTATTTAATTTGAGCAAGTCATTTTATAATCTCTTGCAGGTTTTTACAGTTCTAAAGATCAACGATTCTGTGAATTTCCTCGGAGAGCTGAGGAGGTTCTTATATGTTCCACTGTTTTACCTCCATTTTTAGACCTGCCCCAGGGATGCTTAACAACATACAAAGCCACATGAGGAACAGGGGTGTCTCTTCACACCGCTGAGTCATGGACCAATCAGCAACATGAGTGTTCTTCACAACCTCCCTCCGACCCTCCCCACCAACTCCTGAAGGACAAAATCTATGCATCTAGGTTAGGAAATGGCACACTGCAGTGAGAGGGACACGGGCTAGCTTAGAGATAAATGTCAGTACATATATCAGACTGGCTTTCGGGATATCTAGTTCCCAGTCAAAATTTTCCTGAGCAGCAAGGCCCACCTCTAGGGTATCAGGTATATTCAAATCCTTGTCCATGACAGCTACCGAACTTGGCACTGACCCAATGGCTGAAAAACAGATTTCTAAAAAGGTGCTTTCTGTATAATTCTGTCCCTTTTCTCAGATGTGTGGGCCTAGAAGCTCTGCAGCTGTCTCCACGCACTCTGACCCCTCTGCATTTGGTGCTCTTTGCAGCTTGGCCTGCAGCTTCCTTAGAATAACATGTTGAACTCGATAGTGACACATCTAAGGACAGGTCCAGCAGTGACTTCAGTTTGCTTATGAGTGGGTGTTTGCCCTCATTGCAGAAGGAGCCTGAGAAGTCATCTAGATCAATGGCCCAAACCGTGGCCCCGCCAAAATCGTTCTCCTTGAGAAAGTAAACTGTGGACAAAAAGAGCACATGGCATCCAGAATCAAATGGCATCTATGCAACAAGCAGACAACTGAGTATGGGCGACAGGTGATATTAGGGAGAGAAATGCAAGTGGGATGGAACCCTATCAATTTTTCTTTTATAAAATGGTGTGTGCTTTGTGGATTCAGGATATGATTGACTAACTTACTTCTATTCTTGTTTTCTTGTCCTGGTCCAGAAATTCTTGGGTAGTAATGTAAATAAAGCTAATATTTACCTAACATTAGTAGTACAGGCTAAGCTATATTTTTACCGTCATTACTCACTCTTCCCAAGAACTTCTACGTAGATCCTATTATTATTCTTTCAAGATCTGTGAGAACTTACCCATCTGACACTAGAAATTTAGAACCAGGTATATGTCACTCCAAAGCCTAAACTCTTAACCACTGTGCCATAAGAACCCTTTCCTCCTCCTTGTAGACTGCCTTTCAACCCACCAGGATTCTGTATGGATGACCTGATGGAGTAGTATAGTGGAAAGAACCCAGACTCTGAGCCAGACTATTACTGCCTTTCTTTTCCAGTTATGTAACCTTGGACAACCATTTATGATCCTCAGTTTACTCATCTGTAAAATGGACAGGCTATTTCTTACTTCACTAGATTGTGTAAAATTAAGTAAGATAATGGTTGTAAAACATTTAGGTAAAAATGTAAAAGTTTGTTTTTTATTTTGTTGTTGAAGATGATGGTCTTAGGCCACTCTTATAACCATCCACATGTACTAGTAGAAATTCGTACTATACAAAAATTGGGGAATTTTAATTATACTACAATATTCTAGTATATTTCACTGTATTATGCTATATATTATACATTGTATTATTAAGTATTAAATTATATTTAATTATATTGTTTTCCCTGTTCTCAGGAAAAGATAAGTAATAATGAGGTTGGCTTACCCTTTCTCTGTGCATATTTAAAACCTTGAAACCACAGATCTTAGGAAAATGGGCTCCTGATGAATGTAAGATTCAAAACCAGAATTGTATTCATCTCTACACCCTAGCTCTCAGTGTTGTTCTATCCAAGTCACGCAGTGCCTTTGTAGACATATGGAACTTTTAGTCTTCAATCCAGGCACTTGTGGCCCCACTTAAGAATGCACAGATCTGTGGGGGGAGTTAAGAAGGCAACGTTGAGCACTTCACAGATCTGTGTCATGTATTGGAGGAGAAAGGACTTAAACAGGAGGAAATAATAGGAAGAAACGGGAGGGATAGAAAAGAGGACATTATGAAATCTACCTCAATCTCACATATTTTTCTAGAAAGTAATTTTGTCTTATAAAATAAAGATACAGATTTCTGTGAAACTAGGTCATAAACAGGTGTAATTCGGACTAATTCTGTACCAAGGGGTGATTTAGGAAATGGTGAGCACGACCATATGTGCTGTAGTCATTCTTCCCTCCTGAGTCTTTGACAAACGCTGCTAATATAACACCTCTCCTATCAGTCTCAGAATGTTCAGCACAGGATTCGAGCAAACAATCAATCCAAGTTAGAAGGGAGATCAAATTATTTGCCACGCCTGGGCTAGACCATTGAAATCCTTCTCTAGCTGTTTGCATGGATATAATAGAATTCAGTATTGTTTGGGGCCTCTGGGAAAGGTGAATGCTTCAAACCCTGAAAAAGAAATTCAGATTGATTTTTTTTAAGCGAAAACTATTCCATAGCCATCAAGCTGCTTATGATTGGAGCAATAAGAAGCCAGGGTGCAGAGACTCAAGAGAAGAAGAGGTATCAGGTGGAGCTGGAGAGTGAAAGAATTTTTCGTGGTGCATTTTAAGTCTGAAATAGCCTTGCCGTTACCTCATAATAAGCTCAGAAGCCAGCCTCACGCAGGTAAGGACCAGATGACCCTGTTCCAGAGACTGGGTCAACAACTGAGGTGCCAGAACTGTTGAGCTGGAAGCCCATGGTGAGCTTCTCCACTGGGACCCCATTGTCTCTCCACTACTTCATAGCCTATTACTGAAGAAGGCAACAGACATTATTTCATCACCAGTGTTTGTTGCATTTGATGAACAAAGTCTAGCAATTGTGCCCCAAAGAGAAAGCCTTACTATACAACCAAGGCTCTTCCCAATCCCTTTCCGATCTCCCCTCTACACATGATTTGAGGCTTTTCTTTCTTACAGGGTTGAAATAACTCATATCACCTTGATCCTTGGATCCTATGTGCAGGGGATTGTTTTGCCCATAGATGTGTCCCAGCTACCATGGAAATCATAGACCATCATGCTGGTGAAATCAAGGAGCCAGGAACAAAGGACTTAAACCAACAGGATCCCAGGGGCATTTTCTTATAGACATTTTAAGGACAGGAAATGGTAGCAGTGAGAAGCCCACGACGTCAAGTAGGTATTCATATAACCCCACTGATCTGGCTTCCCAGGGTCTCCAGAGAGCAAACTATATTCTGTGACCCCCATGGGGCTTGACAGGAAGTTTTCTTTCTCCTTTCTTTTTTTTTTTTTAAAAGGATGACCGGTAAGGGGATCTCAACCCTTGGCTTGGTGTTGTCAGCACCACGCTCACCCAGTGAGCAACCGGCCATCCTTATATAGGCATCTGAACCCGTGGCCCTGGTGTTATCAGCACCGCACTCTACCGAGTGAGCCACGGGCCGGCCCTGACAGGAAGTTTTCTTTACCTTCTTGACAGAAATAGGGCAAACTCAGAGCAGAAGCCTAGACAACGTGGGTGGTTAGAGCATGTGTCTCAGAAACATGTCTCTAGGACCATGGGAATCACAGGTAAGTAACTGTCCTATCGCTTTGATGATGATATATTGTATAATTCTATAGCTTTTTCAAAAGAAACTGCTAATGAGGATTGCTATTATAAGGGTTTTCCATGGTCTTGAATCTTGTTCTTCTTTGTCCCACGGTGATCACAGTCCCACCACAGTGGTAATTTAAAGGGACCACCACCTTATCCCAGAGCCACTAAGTCAACAAACCTCTTTGGCATTGAAGGCCTACTTTCCCAATGTTACATGTACTTAAGTATTTGGAATGCTCCCCACCAACATTTTTAGGAATCTGTACTTTAGGATTTGGGCACCCTGAGAGACCCAGCACACTCTCTTCCCAGTCTCTGCGATTTCATGTCCTGCATCAGTGGTTCCCTTGCCAGCAGATACAGCTGCTGTGAGAAGCAGCCTGGGGCATCCTGTTTCTTTAGATTTTTCTTTGAAAGCTTCCAGCATTTTCTGGAGAGAGAGTAAGGGTGGATTTGAGTGGCTGTCTTCATTATGTCCTATAGTAAGTACCTCTCGGGCCACTTTCAAGCTCATAATAATTCCCCTTTCTCTAGAAATGGCACCCCAAATACAGGGATAGGTCTTGGCAAAGTACAACTTGAAACAAAAGACACTAAGAGTCCTTTAATCCAACTCACATTTAATGGCAATTCCAAAGGAAGAAAACCCAGGAATTCCTGGCAGAAGACCTAGGGGCTATCTTGCCAATGCTGACTTCACCCTCATTTTTTTTTTTTTCCTTTTTGTCCTTTTTCGTGACCGGCAACAGATCACAACCCTCAGTGTCGCGCCCGGACCGGACCAGGACCGGCAACGGGATCGCAACCCTCGGTGTTGCGCCCGCACCTCGCTCAGCCAGTGAGCGGGAACCAGTCTGCATGTGGGATCCGAACCCTCGGCGGGAGCGCAGCCACACTCCCAAGCGGGGCACTGTAGCAGTGCGCCACCGGGCCGGCCCCACCCTCATTTTTAAAGCTATAAAATCCAGATTTGTATACAGCTGAGCTAAGCTCTTTCCTGCCTCCAGGCCTTTGCTAATGCTGTTACTGTTTCCTGAGAACACTCTTCTCCCTACTCTGTGTGGCCAGTTCCTTTTAATTCTTCATATTGCAGCTTAAATGTCACTTCCTCTAAGAAGAAGTCCCTGACCATCCAATTTACTTCCATCATAGCTCTTAGCACAATTTGCAATTACTTGATACTTTTTATTTTTTATTTATTTATTTGGTCTGTATCCTCCTCTATGCTGTAAGCCCTACATGAGCAGAGATTGTGTTTGTCTTGCTTACTGCTCTGTCTACAATGTGAAGCACAGTGTCTGGATCACTGCTGATGCTCAATAAATACTTACCAAATACATGACCAACATAATGAATGGTTTCTCCTTCCCTGGCAAAGGATCTCTTCCTTTGGTTCTTTCTAATACCTATATCCTTCCAGTAAATTCTCTCTTGACCTGCACTAGCTAGAGAGTGTTTCTGTTGCTTGTGACTTTCAAACACCTGAACTAGTGTACTGTCTGAGGGCAGTACCCTTTGCTAACCTCAGGAAATGCAGCTCTCTCAGAAAATCCACTAAGGCACCAGCTTCTCTACAAAATGACACAGAGCTAGTGCTCCATTCTCACCTTAATCAGGATGTAAATCACTGCTTGTCCTCAGGTGGGCTTCTGCGGGACCCTGGATATTCAATGCCCAAGTTAATGCCATCCATGTGATGAAGGAAGCCAATGACAGAACAGATGAAAGCTTTGTAGCTGGCAGCTGTGGAGACCATGGTGGTAAGTCCAGGCAGAGAGTTTGTCTGTATTAACATCAGCAGACCCCAGGAATCCTCCCCACACCATCTCTTATTTCAATTTTAATTGTGTATTTCATAATAATCTCTAATGGATTTTTGCAGTTAAGGTAAAGGCATTCAAAAATGTTAATGTCAATCAATGGGTAACTGTTTTTAATTAAAATTTTTTTTACTTCATTTTGTGTATTGAATAGTATTTTTCCATTTATTTATAACATCAAATGTACATGTATATATTCTTTATTAGTGGAATCTTTCAGGGTGTAGTCGTTCAGATATTGTATTTCTTTGAGTCTCTCTAAGATGTTCATTTTTTTTTTTTTTTTTTGTCTTTTTTTGTCTTTTTTCTGTGTCCGGCAACGGATCGCAACCCTCAGTGTTGCCCCCGTACCGGACCGGGGACCGGCAACGGGATCGCAAGCCTCGGTGTTGCTCCCGCGCCTCGCTCAGCCAGTGAGCGGGAACCGGTCTGTATATGGGATCCGAACCCTCGGACGGGAGCGCTGCCGCGCTTCCCAAGCGGCGCACTATCCAGTGCGCCACCGGGCCGGCCCTAAGATGTTCATTTTTTATATTTATTATTTCCAAAATTAAGATGTGACTTACTTACATCTGTATAAATATTTAATAAAGCACTTCTGAACCCCAAAGAATGTACTATTAAATTTATTCTGAATCCTACATGTAAAGGCACCTTAATATCTAGAATTTAGTTACTCTGCCAGAGTCAATAATTTCATGACCTGTAAATACATATTTAAACATTTTAGGTTTGTTCCTGATTATAGTAAGCCTGTGATGAATGCTTTGTACACTGGATTACAACCTCCCTAAACTGTCTTTTTTTTTTTTAAGTTCAGTTATTTTTTTATTTTTTTAAAGTTCAAGTGTTTTTTTTTTTTTTTTTTTTTTTTTTAAAATTCAAGTGTTTTTTTTTTTTTTTTTTTTTAAAATTCAAGTGTTTTTTTTTTTTTTTTTTTTTAAAATTCAAGTGTTTTTTTTTTTTTTTTTTTTTAAAATTCAAGTGTTTTTTTTTTTTTTTTTTTTTAAAATTCAAGTGTTTTTTTTTTTTTTTTTTTTTAAAATTCAAGTTTTTTTTTTTTTTTTTTTTTTTTTTTAATTAAAGTAAACTGACTAGCACAAACTGGGTAACTTAAAAAGGGAGGAGAGGTGTTGTTTACAGTTTTGGGGATTAAACTGCAGAGATTTTCTTATTTATGTGAGTTGTGGACAAGATAAGAAAAAATTTTATTGGTGTAGTAGAGAGGACACTTCAGGCAGAAAAAATATTGGTCAAATAACATAGGTGAGAATTAGCTTGTTACTTTACAGGTAACTGCCAGAAAGTTTACTTGGCTATTACAGTGAGAATAAAAAAACTCAATTACAGTGTGTTCTGACATCATACTGCTACCTCTGGAGAATTAGAAAGGGGAAGAAAAGAGAGAAGTGAGTTACTTTTTATGTCAAAAAGTTCTGTGCTATCCTGATTTTTTAAATAATTATGGAAGTGTACGACTTTCAAAATTTAAAAAGTAACTTACCACTGATTTGGACAACGTTTTTACACACAAGTCTAATTCACCATCTCTTTTTCCAACTCAGAGTTGAAATGTCATATCCTTTCTCACTGCTCCCCGGCAGCAAAGCCCATGACCCAGCCCAGGGCTGTTGCATTCTCATCAGTGAACAAAAGCTCTTCCCCAGCACCAATCCCCTTCCTACCACGTATCATTCTCTATATTATTTTGACTATTTGACTCTCTCAATACCTTTGCTATTTCTCCATATCTGCTGCAGCCAGCCCTTCCCACCCACAGACATCAGAGTTCCCTTTTCAGAGACCAGCCTCTTTCCCCTCTGGAATAATCCACTTGCATCTCCTTCTCTGGCATCATTGTTCACCACCCCAGCCTCAAGGACTCTTTCTTTTGCTTCCACCCTCATCCCCTGGCCATCAGAAGGCTCTTACTTCTAAGTGCCAAAGTTCCAGCCACTTACAGCCAGCAAGTTGACCAGATCTCCATTGCTCTAGAAAGAAACAAAGAGGCACATTTAAGGGAGACCTCTGTGAGCCTGCAGATGCAGACATTGTGGAAAGTGACTCTTCTCGCCCTCATTCCTGACCCTCTGGGGAATGGGCAGCTTCCAAGTACAACCTCTAAAGTCCCCTTGGCGATTGCTTCTCCCCATCTGCCCACGTTAAAGTTTACAACATACTTTACTATACTCGTATGTGTTAGAAATCTGCATGTTCTTTTCAGGAAGAAACGATCTGCAAAAGACTTTGCCTCTCAGAATCTTATAATACTTGAAAATGAATTGGAGACTGAGTTTGGGCTCTCCTTTAACCTCCCTGTCTCCCACTCATTATGGACTCAATTCCTACTGACTAGTTCTTTCAGGGCTCAGAACTGAGCACACAGGACATCAACATTGTTCCATTCATCGGGAGCAATCTTGTCGTCATTCATGGTGGTGAAAGCATGTATCAGGTGCGTGCACAGACATGAGTCCACATCCTTAGGGAAGAACTTGGCTGATTCCAGTTGATGCTGAGACCAGTTGGTAAAGCAGCACACAAGCTTATAGGCCGAGCCTCAGAGGAGAAAGCAGCAGTCACTGCAGTGTGTGGCTCCACTGTCTGTCTCACTGGCAGATGAACTCTTCCAGGGAAGGGGAACCTACAAGTCAGCATGGCATAGACCTCGTAGATGCTGCCACATGCCTTTCCTCCCTGTGTGAAAGACCATGTGAACCAATCATGGCACTCTTTTTCAACAGAATCTGAGAAAGAGCTAAGCATATTTTATGACCCCGAAAGCTTTAAAAATCAATTAGAGTCAACATATAAAGTAAAATCAATTTGCCATCACAGAAGCAAGTGGTCAGGGTAATTATGCTCCTCGGTACTTTGCTTAACTTCATCGTGTGCTTAACTGTTCAAGTTTATTACCAATAAAATAGCTACCATTGTACAAGTCATATGATGTCACTAATGCTTTATTTAGAGGCTTTACATGCATTGTTTTGCTTAAATTCTAATCTTCATAACAACAGCGTGAGGGTAAAATTATTATTCTCATTTTTAGATGAGACTCAGAAAAACTGACTTGCTTAGGACTGCAAGGTTCAAGTGTCCATCTATTCCCCAAGAATTGATTGTGCATCTACTACTTCCAGGCAGTCTTGCTCCAGAGCTCATGCCCTTCTCATTCTCTTCTCCTGGATCTCCTTATCTGGGCCTTAGCTGTGTTTTACATCTGTAGCCCAATGCCCAGGAATTAGAAAAAATATGAGGACATTTGAGGGAAAAAAAGGCAGAGGAGTACAGAGTAATAGATAATGGAGACTGCACCAGTCTCAGCATCAGGATGGAGGTTTAAGTCCTGATGTGGAATAATGAAGGACAAGTCACTTCCCCTCTCTGTGCCTTAGTTTTCTCCACTGGAAAGTGAGGCATTTAAGATTCACAATCTATATGTTCCCTCCCAGCTCTCACATTCTGGGATCCAGCAAAACGGGCTGGGGGCTTTAGGTTCTAGTCTTGACTTTATTGTAGAAGGAGAAGGAAATGCAAAGTTGGAAGAAAGGAAAGAAAAGGGAGTTAACTATTAAGAAGATGTAAGTGTGGACAGGAGGTTGTATTATTCCTTACTTATTGCACCTGCAGCAGAACAGCCAAACCTGAAACAAAAAATACAAATATGAGAAGTCCTCCGATGGGCTTCCCAGCTAGGATCTGCTGCTACCCAGGGGACTCGTAGGGTTTCAAGGGCCCAGTGACCTTGGATTTATCAGTGGCATTTTCCTGGGCCTTATTTCATCATTCCCAGGCTTGGAGCTCAAGTCCCTCTGCTCAGAGCCCGGGACATGAGAGGAAAATTCACGTAGAAACCTCCCTGAAACAGATGCCTTCCCTCCTGCCCCATTCCCCATTCATGGGACACGCCATGACCTGTGGGAAGGATGAAGGGCAGAAATGATGGGAGACTCACAGGCCCACAGTAGCATCCTGCCCATCATGCCTCTATACCGACCACCTTGGTCAGCTTCAGCCTTACATAGGAAGGAGACTTCTTTTATCACTGTGGGAGCAGCAGAGCTGCCACCTCATACCCCCAGGTCCCAAGGCCATTACATTCCTATCTCCACCCATCCCAGATTCATGAGAGTGAGCACTTAGAAGGAAAGAAAGCAGCAAAGCCCCTTCACCAGCCCAGACCTGGAGACTCCTACAGAACTGCTTGCAGTTGGAGACTTGAGTTCTGCACTGAGGCTGAGTCCCTTTCCCCATGGGATGTGGGAACCCAGGGGGAGAATAAAGGGCACTGTGCTGGAAATCAGGACTCCAGCGTTCAGGGCCCAGGACCAGGAAAGCTCATGAAGGAAGTGAGTGGGGAGTGTTGAGCTGAGATATTGGAACATTCATTTAAAGCCTGTAGTTTTCCTCCTTCGGGACTGGGCCCAATGCCAAAGCCAGAAGCAAGGGTCTTGGAAGGGATTTGGTTCAGGGAAGGGGCACAATTAGTCCTGCTCATCATCATCTTCTTGATCCCTTGTGCTTTGGCGGCCACAGCTCTGGAGAGGAACGACGGGGCAGCCACAGGATGCTGCAGCTGCCAATTCCCTTCCCTTATTGCAGCCCGGGGCAGAAATGGGGAGAGGAGAGCTGCTACCAAAGAAACATGCTCCTTATACCCCAGCCCCCTTCTCCTCATTCTGGGAAGGGTGGTGGCAGTAGGATGTAAAGAACATTGTGACCTACTTTGCTACAGCCTGAATTCTTAGAAAAAAATGGACCAGTGTCAGAGGGCTGGGATTGCGGGGGGGACAATGTGGCTGAGAGGGTGGTCAGTGCTGTGTGGGAGGCAGGAGTCACAGGTGGCAGGGCCTGTTTTATCTGACCTTGCTACCCCCAAGGCCATAGATTTGCCACTGGCAGCAGCAGAACCCTCAGAAGTGGGGCTGAGCCAGGCGGTTAATAGTGGGCACAGGTACAGGGATCGCTGCCAGCCTTGGCCTGAAAACAGAGCCTCAGGCAGGGCCAAGAATTTTCTTAGTGCATCTAGCTTCCTTTCAGTCTTCTCCAGAAGGAGGTGATTCATATCTCCTGAGTGCCGTGCTCATCTTTGGATCCTGGGTACCTGGCACAGACTGGGCACTTGATGAAAGTCAGCTGAACAAATGAACGTCTTATCTTTACCATTTCCGGTGGTGGGCAATCTTCAACCACCAGGCGGCTCCTGACTCGAGTAGTTGCGTATTGCTATATGACAGATTACTCCTAAACTTAGCCTCTTAAAACAATAGGAAATATTTATTAATTTATGTAGTTTCTGTAATTCAGGAGCAGCTGACTGGGTGGTTCTGGCTTGGGTTCTCTCATGAGGTTATAGTAAAGAGATTAACTGGGGAAGTTACTGAAAGCTTGATGGAACCTAAAGGATCCATTCCTAAAATGACTCACTGGTATGGCTGGAGAGTTGGCACTGGCTATTGGCATGAGGCCTCAGTGTCTCCTCTGTGGGCCTCTGTAGAAGAAGCCACTGGCTTCTCCCAGAGTAAGTAATCCTGTGTACAATGTGTGATGATCAAGTCAGAATAATTAGCACATACATCATTATAAAACATAATCATTTCTTTGTGTTGAGAACATTCAATCTCCTCTTTTCTAGTCGTTTGATAACCTGCCATAAATTGTTGTTAATCACAGCTGCCTAGCCTGAATGTGCATCAATAGAATTTATTTTTCCTAACTAGCTATTTTGTGTCCATCAACCCATTTCTTGGTATCCTCCCTCTCCCTCCCCCTTTCCCAGCTCAGTAGGCAAACCCCAGTAGGGAAACTATTTTTAATAGCACTTTTAATATCTTCCATGGTGTTCTGCCTCTTCTTATGTCAATTTGATTAGTTTCCTAGAACTATTTCATCTAGATCTTCTGGTGTGTTTGCATAAACTTTTTGTATTGTCTTCTTATCATTTGGGTCATCTTTGTGTCAATGGTAATCTATGTAAGGAAAATAACACATTAATTCCACACTGAGATAAGGCTGGAGTGGATTCTTCACTAGAACAGTAGAGGGGGCAGAATCCTGGAAACCAAGCACATCAGGGAGTTATAGGTACCTCCTGGGCCAAAATAGAAATCATGAATCATCCTGACAGAGATGGGCCGAGAATCAGATAAAACTGTATTTAAATACTTATTCGGTCTCTTATTAGAGAGGTGATCTTGGCCAAATTACTTAACCTCTCCAAGCTTCAGTTTCCTTGTGCGTAAAATGTGGATAATAATACCTTTTCTACATTGTTGCTGTGAAAATTAAATGTGTTAACATACGTAAAATGGTTTACAGTTATTTACATATTGAAAAGCAGAATGCTCAGTATCTATTCTTATTAAGATGCATGGTTAGAAGATTTCTGGACTTAGTGAGACAATGAGAAGAGTTATTTTTAAAAAATTGTTTTTGCAGAACCAGAATGAAAATATTTGATTGTGCAAAGGCTCCATAAACTGTTTTTCAAGACTGAGCAAATTAGTGTAAATTTGCAATGTAGCAGGAGAAATGGATTTCCAATGATCTTGGAAAGGAAGACAGTGGAACTCATTGTACAGGAATAAAGTAACTTAAAGAATGTTTATTGCAGTTGCTATATATGTAGATGGTTTTTATTGTTAGCTCGTTCTCTCAGTAGAAGTTGGGTGGTATGCAAAAGCCATAGGAAAGCATTAACCAGAGCAGATATTCATGTGGCTTAGGCTAGGTCAGTTACCTTATACCTGCAGATAGAAAAGGGTGAGATGTGTTCCAGAAAGATCTCCTCAATCAACGAGCTTGGATTGTAAGTGTTCTCACCATGAAAAAAAAGTTAACTATGTGAGGTGATAGATATGTTGATTAACTGGATTGTGGTGATCATTTCACATGTTGTACACCCTAAACACATACAATTTTTACTTTACAATTATATTTCAATAAACCTAAAGGGAAAAAAAATAAGATCATTGAGAAATTTTGAAGGAAAAGCTGGTTCATCAGAAAACAGATGAGTTCAGTTTGAGAAATAAAGAATAAAATAAAAATAAAGTTATTTTCTGCTTGTGTTCACTGTAAATAGGTAACCAACTTACTTGTTCAAAATGTGTTTTCCAGGTATGAGTACATTCTCTTTCAGGGTGCAAGTCTATGAGAAAAAGGATCGTGTCTGCTTAATTCTGTACGTAGAGTGTCCAGCCTGAAAATGACTTTCCAAACTATAACAACAAAACAACAAAAGAAAATGAATAATGTGAATGATTGGCAAAGAAAAGTTATGTTTCATTCATTTATTGAGTTCAAACAAACTCCAGGAAGACTTCATCCCCTTCCAGTGCCATTCTTTCTGTTCAGTTACAGCACTTGCAGCTTTGGTCAAACACTAAGCATTCTGCACACCTTTTGGCCACAGTGTTACCACTAGCACACTCGTAAAACCTGGATGGGTCATCAGGGTCCCCACAGAACCCATCAGCCTTGCCTTCACAGAATGCACTGGGAGATGAGGGTTTGGGAGGTTCTGGAGTGATGTAGCCACACTCAAAACAACACAGACATCATTAGCCACAGTCCAAAGAAAACTTTAAGAGACCATCTAAGCATAAGAGAATAGCAAAGTCCTCTCTTAATCAACTCAAACCATATCAGATTTTAGGTAGGGAGACCCTAGCCACCAAAGATTAAAGCAGAGTCACAGATTACCATAGGATCAATTGTTCAAAGTGAAGAGAATGCTAGTTTTACTCTTTTTTCACTAGTTAGACTAGAAAAAGATATATATAGTCCCATAAATATTTGGTATTTTGTTGCTTTGCTAAGTTAGACAATGATAGCTGTTTCTTCACTGGCAAAGGGAATTATTCTCAAGTTCACCATAACAAGTCAGTAATTAAGTATATAACATATTTCAGATGGACTAGTGTGTATTTTCTAGAGTTTTGTTAAAGAATTTGCCTCAGCCCATTGCTAGCTCTCAAGTGAGAAATTACTGGAAATTAGAAGCCATCAGTAGTTTTGAGGCTCATGTAGCCTGCTGATTGTAACATGACTGTTACACCATTTAAACTGTTACGTCCGGTGTCTGGGTAAAGTGAGCCTTACCCTGCTCTAAACAGGATGACCATCCATCCCAGTTTGCTGTGAGCTGTACAGAGTCACACTGTACACTCAAAATTATCCTGGACTGGTGTAAAACAATGTTAAATATACATATTGGTCTCTGCCCCAGTCCCTGGCAAAGAGCTCCTGAAACCCTTGTAGATAGGGGTGCTAGGAGAATCTTTGGTTCTAATGTTTGATCTTTGACCCCAGTTCCTGACACAGATTTCCCAATACTTTGGAATTTCCTGGGTAATAGAAGCAGTTTTGTTCGAGTGAGGTGACTCTCAATTCTCCGTGGGATCCTGGATGGGGGCTGGTCACCAGAAAAACCAAGCCATGATTAGAAGCTTGGAGCTTTCAGCCCCACCTCACATTCTATGGACAGGATAGAGGGGCTAGAAATGGAGTTAATATTATTGATCATGCCTACGTGATTAAGCCTCCATAAAAATTTCTGAACTATGGAGTTCAGGGCATTTCCCAGCTGGCAAACACATCTGCATGACAGAAGGGTGGTGCATCCCATCTCCACAGGGACAAGAAGCTCCTGCACTTGGGACTTCCAAAGCTTCCCTATGTATCTCTTCATCTGGTTGTTTATCTGTATCCTTTACTATATTCTTTATTAATAAACCAGTATATGTAAGTAAAGTATTTCCCTGAGTTTTGTAAGCTGCTAGAGCAAATTAATTGAATCCAAGGAGGGAGTCATCAGAACCCCAATTTATAGCCAGACAGTCAGAAGCACAGGTCACAACATACCTACCTCCAGGTAGATAGTGTCAGAATTGAATTGAATGACAGTACACCCAGCTGGTGTCCACTGGAGAATCTTCTGGAGAATGGCTTGGTGTATGGGGGAAAAAGTTCACACATCTGGTGTCAGAAGTGTTGAGTGACCATGTGAGAGCAGAGAGTAGGAAAAATTTGTTTTCCTATATCTTCCAGTTGAAAATAAATTATATGGTCATCTAGCTAGAAAATTTAAATTTTTCTGTACTAGAGGTGAATTAAAATCTCTGCAGCCCAAGTCATGCCTTGTGTTTGTGCTTACTTAGAAATCAATGAGTAAGCACTAACGTGTAGTTTCTTTGGTTCAAGGTTTGCTGATGTTCTCCTAATTACCTGGCATCGGCAGCCCCAGCAGAGACCTGAGTTTGGAGATGAGAGGATATGAATTCTCACTGGAGAAGTTGCCTAGGAAGTCATCCAAGTCAAGAGCCCAAACCATGGTTCCACAAAACCCATTTGCTTTCAGAAACGTCACCTGTGATAAAGAGTATAATCTATCATGTCAGTGCTAAGTCTCTTAAAACACTATAATATTGGGCCGGCCCGGTGGCGCACTCGGTTGAGTGTGGCACTTGGGAGTGCAGCGGCGCTCCCGCCGAGGGTTCGGATCACATATAGAGACCGGTCTGCTCACTGGCTGAGCACAGTGCGGGCGTGACACCAAGGGTTGTGATCCCGTTGCTGGTCATGAAAAAGACAAAAAGGAAAAAACAAACAAACAAAAAAAACCACTATAATATTGAAAGCATGATGTAATATGATCAAAACGTTTGTAAGAAAGAAAACATAAAGGAAAACAAAATTATACCACTATAAAATAACTCTTCATTTTTGCACGTTAGTCATAGTCTTTGTGCACACACCATCATTGCTTACGTGGTCATCACAGCATATAAACCACCTATATGCTATGGTTGCTTTTGCTTTCACTTTACATCAGAAATAAACATTTCTCATTGCATTTCCTCACTCATAAGTGGGAGCTGAATCCATAAGTAAACACATAAATAATAATGAGAGAGAGAAAGAAAGAAAGAGAGAGAGAGAGAGACAGAGACAGAGACAGAGAGAAGGAAGGAAGGAAGACAGGCAGGCAGGAAGGAAGGAAGGAAGGAACGAAGGAAGGAACGAAGGAAGGAAAGAAAGAAACAACAATCACAATAATACGTTAAACTTTTAGAAGGAGGGCCAGCCCGTGGCTCACTTGGTAGAGTGCGGTGCTGATAACACCAAGGCCACGGGTTCGGATTCCATGTAGGGATGGCCGGTTCGCTCACTGGCTGAGCGTGGTGCTGACAACACCAAGTCAAGGGTTAAGATCCCCTTACCGGTCATCTTTAAAAAAAAAACTTTTAGAAGGAGAGAAAAGAACTGTGGTTACTTGTAGAAAAGGAGAGGGGAGGAGGAGAGGGGGGGGGATTAAGGACAAATTGGTTAACAGACACAAAGAAAGTTTGTGTATCGTAATGATGAATAAACCAATTATCCTGATCTGATCACCTCACATTGTATACAACTATTGAAAGTCAACTTTGTACCCCACAAATATGTATAATAAATTATCTTTAAAAAAGAAAAAGAAATAAACACTTCTCATGTGTCTGCTTAGTCTTTGTACTTACCATTTTTAATGATTGAAAATATTCTTTTGTGTTCATTATAATTTAATACACCATTTCCTCATTGTTTTCATATTTTGCAATCATCAGCAAAACTCTGAGAAGCACTTTTATATATAAATGCTTTGACCATATTGTTTTTCCAACAAATACCCATGAGCTGGAATTGAAGGCTAAAGGGTGTGCATATGTATATCATTCCTGTTACACACAGCCATACTGTTTTCCCAGAGAGGAAGCCAACCCAACCCTACACAGGAGGCTCTTGGAATGATGAGTATTCTTAGAAACTGGGAGTCTGTATGATGTATGGAAAGAGCATCAACTTTGGCATTATTCAGACCTGTAAGCCACATCCTAGTACACCATTTACTAACTGTATGTCTTTGGAAAGTAAATCAATCTCTTTTACCATCAATCTCCTTATTAGAAAATTATAATACATACTCTATAATAATAGCAACTGCCATTTGTTGAGCACATACTCAGCATGTAATTCAGCCCCTAAAATTAAATGTTGTAAGAATTAAATGGAATATCTTACATAAAACAAATGGCACATTGCAGTTAACCAAAAACATGTAAGCTCCTTTCTCTTTCCAATAAAAATGGACATTTGCCACACCTCCCAGAGGGAACTCACTAAACAAATAGAGCTTAGTCTTCAGGTACTCCCATGGGGTGCAAGCAGCCTCCAACAGCATGCAGACATGGGCCAAGGCCTGGATTTCACAGCAGGTGAGCCTACAGGCACCATGAGGTCCCCCTTTGGTAACCAGTGAAGAATTGCCAAGGTCCAAGAGACTGTGGCTACCCACTCTTTACATGCTTAATTTAGTGGTAGCATGGCTTATGGTTAGCTCTAACTTCTCACCTTTAAAAGTCTATTTTAGGGCCCAACAACATTATAGGGCCCTGGGTGACCCTCCAACAACAAAGGTTTGGGGTTTCTGTCACCCTGATCATGAGTGCAAGGAGTAATAATCCTCTTCTTGGGCACTTGGGCATCCCTCTCTTATGAACAAAAGATATAAACACGCAGAATCTCCGTCCTGCTGTCCCAGGTCAGTCTCATCTTCCTTTGTCTTACCTTTCCTTCCTCTTCCCTAAAAATGCCAAAGGAGGGAGCGCAGAGGTGAAAAGACAGGGCTGGTCATATAGTAAGAGGCAGGAGCATTGGTCAGGGCTGGTGAAGGAAGAAGAGATTTTCCAATTTGGATTTTCCTCTACCTCAGACCCTAAATTTGATTACAAAGAACCAGAAGTACGTGAGATTGTGTGTAAAGGTCTTCTGGGTACTGATGTGTGTGTATGCTTGTTTGTGTATATGTCTAAGAAGGTGTATGGCGACATGTTTATGTTCGTGTATATTATATACATATTTCACAAGAACATAGGAAAGATAGCTCAGAAATTACTCATTTTGGGCCGGCCCGGTGGCGCACTGGATAGTGCGCCGCTTGGGAAGCGCGGTGGCGCTCCCGTCCGAGGGTTCGGATCCCACATACAGACCGGCTCCCGCTCACTGGCTGAGCGAGGCGCGGGAGCAACACCGAGGCTTGCGATCCCGTTGCCGGTCCCCGGTCCGGTACGGTGGCAACACTGAGGGTTGCGATCCGTTGCCGGACACGGAAAAAGACAAAAGACAAAAAAAAAAAAAAAAAAAAAAAATTACTCATTTTAATTGCCTTTTTTTACAGAGTAGGATATTGAGGATTAAAAAGAGGATTATTGGCTTAAAAATGGCACAAAGAAGCAGTAACAAAGCTCTTTGCATTTTGACTTGAAGGTTAAACTCTTATTCTTTAAAAGGAGTTTACGTCTCATTTAAGTCAAACTAACATCAGGATATATACAGCAAGACTCCTTCATTGGTCAAGATGATTTATCTCACTTTGGGGTAACTGGGGAGACCTGGGCAATTATGCAGCAGGAGATCATCTTATGACTGGAAGGAACCCAAAGGTTGTCTAACCCAACTCCTCAGCCAGCCTGAGCCTCCACTGCTGCCTCTTCCTGGAGGTATCACCTCATAGTCAGCCCAGTAGCCAGCCTCCCAGGTGTCAGGCCATGGTGCTGAGAAGGGGCTCCCACAGACACGTCTGAAGAAGTTAGGTGCATGGCTCATCCATACATGGGGAACCCCATGATAAGCTTCTCAGTAGGAACCCCATTGTCTTGCCAATATTTCATGGCAAATCCCTGTGACAGTGTCCCAACTCCTGTGAAAGTCATAGTTCATCACTCTGATGAAGTCCAGGAGTCTGGGGAGAAATGGCACAGGAGGGGTGAACAGCAGCTGAGCCTGTTGTAATGACGGCTGTGCTCCTGGCTGGGGCCGAGGCTATGGACGCAGCTGTGCCTGCGGCTGAGATATTTCTCAGGGACTCAAGGGATTGTCTGTTGCAGTGGCAGTGTGGAAGACAGGTTGGGGTTGAACCTGTTGTGATAGGCTGTAAAAAGACAGAGTGGAATATTAGTGTTTCACAGCTTTCCAAAAGACCTGGAGGCAACTCATCCTCAATGGCTTGGGATCATCAGACCAAGGCTAGGATAGGGAGTCACTCTCAGATCCTTCCAACTGTAGACAAACAGTGTTACCCCCAGAAAAGTCTGTCCCCTTAGATCATAAACATGGCCCACATTCCTTCCAACACATTATTCCCTGAAGCACCTCAGAGATGCCAAGAATTCTGGGCCACAGTGGAGAGATGGAAAAAGGAACAATGTAGGAAGGAATAGAAACCTTAGTCTATTTCTTCTCTCTCCATAACCATCAGCACTTCTGAAATGTGGTGCTGAAGTGCTTGACAGACCGAGCTCAAGATTTCTAGATGTGCCTGATGTAGTTAGGATGAGATATGGATAAGCACAAAGAACGCTGGGTTTGGAATTATAGCTGCTGCTCAAATCCTGACTCTGCCCCTCCCTCAGCTCCCGCCCACGGGGGGAGGGTGATGGTGGCCCACTCACAGCGGGCCTGGCGCTGCCGTAGATGGAGGGCACCCGCTGGTTGGAGGAGCCTGTGTCAAAGAGAACCAGGAAATTTGGGGGTGGTATCCCGATGTTCATCTCCCCAAAGTAGAAAGACTGCAGAAAAAAGGGTTGTCACCCTCATTAAACAACCAAGACTTGTCCTAAGGATGGGCAGGAAGCTGACCCACAGAAAGCCACATTTTCCCTAAATCATTTCCTTGGGAGAGTGAGAGACTTCTCCCACAAATTTTCTTTCCCATCTTTAGCCAGCTCCTCTTGAGATCCTTCTTTTTTGTCCCTGATTACAAGCCTTTGACCAGCTCAGACTTAGTTTGGCAAGACGATATCCTCTTCCAAATGTGTTTTCTACTTTACAATTAATCAATACCTTCATAGCTTTCCCATGCTATGTCAAAATACCCAGAGTTGGAGAAACAATACCTTTTTTCTCCTTTCCTCAGTGTCCATCCACCCTCCGCACATCACACATACACACAAGCACACACACGCAGGCACACTCTCCTCTCCCCTTCTCTTCCAGCATTAGACACTTCTGCCACCATTTTCCTGCCTCCTGGTCAAACACTAGCAGAGGCTACTGGGAAGTCTGAGGTAAGAGGTAGTATGCAGAGCAAGAAAAGCATTTCACTGGGAGGTAATATAAGTGCTAAGTTAATTGGGCTGGTCCTGTCAGTTACCTGCCTCTAGTTCTTTTATTTATAAAATATGGGAGTTGAAATAAATCCCTAAAGTGGCTTCCAGCTCTGATGCTCAATGTAACATCTCACTAAGGACAGTCCATAGGACACCAGAATGTTGAGATGTCCCAATCAGACATTGCAGGCTTGAGAACATTCAAACATTTGCCCTGGGGCCGGCCCGTGGCTCACTCAGTAGAGTGTGGTGCTGATAACACCAAGGCCACAGGTTCGGATCCCACATAGGGATGGCCGGTTTGCTCACTGGCTGAGCGTGGTGCTGACAACACCAAGTCAAGGGTTAAGATCCCCTTACCGGTCATCTTTTTTTAATTAATTAATTTATTTATTTATTTTTATTTTTTTTTAAAGATGACCGGTAAGGGGATCTTAACCCTTGACTTGGTGTTGTCAGCACCACGCTCAGCCAGTGAGCAAACCGGCCATCCCTATGTGGGATCCGAACCTGTGGCCTTGGTGTTATCAGCACCGCACTCTCCCGAGTGAGCCACGGGCCGGTCCCCAGTCATCTTTGTTTTTTAAAAAAAAAAAAACATTTGCCCTGGGGACCAGTGTGTTTTTCCAGTGAGAGAGAGAGACAGTGCCTGGAGCCACTGGAGACTGTCTGCCAGGCTCACATGCGTCTTTTTTTTCTTTCCCCTGAAGCTCATTGCCAGGACTTCCTTTGGAGCTCTTAACTGACTTGAGCGTTTCCACTATGAATCTCTTACCCATAGGAATGGAGCTTTAGAGAGATGGGCCAGTAAAGAGAGGAAAGGAGGAAGGAAAGGGAATGAATATGCTACTAGATAATATCAACTCATAGATTGTTCTGATACTCTCCACAGGAAAGTGAGATTACAGCTAATGGCAGTATTAAATGAATATCTAAGAATGGTTGTTATACAAAGGTTATGGACCCTCTTCCCAGCCTCCCACCTCAATCACATCCACATAGTTAGTGATGGGTTCATAAGCAACAGCATCACTGTTGAGATGATACTTGGCAGCTGTATTGACCTTTGGGTGGTTCTTTAGGAACGTCTCCAGCACACCCTGCTCCTCCATCACCTGGTGGATAATAGACTTGATTTTTCTCAGAATAATTCTGCAGAGGATGGGGTAAACCAAAGGAATGAGCTTCACCTTGGCCCTATTAAACCAATCCCTTCAAAGACCTGACCTGGAGTTTTCAAATCTCTTCAGTACTCTACTCAAAAAGAGCTTCTTATAGAAAATCCTCCAGATTTTAGCAAGTTCTAACCACTGCAGTCACTCCAGCATTCCCAGCATGGAAATACATTACACGATATTTGGGTTTTTGTGTTTTTGTGCTTAGATATTGTTTCCAGAGACTGTTTCTTCCCATCCCTCCTGTAGCTTTGGGTAGGGATTGTGCATCCTCCCTTCTTAGCCAATGAAACACCTCACTCATCCTTACACACACACACACACACACACACACACACACACACACACCCCCCGTGTCCATTTCAAGTCTTGGCCTCCAGTGGGTGTTCAGTTCACAGTAGCAAAAGACAACCTGACTGGCTCTCCGGGAGGCCTGCAGAGGAAGGCCTTTGCTCCTCCCTAGCCCATCATGATCCCTGGAGGCTGGAATTCACAATGAAGCAGAATCCCAGTACACACCTTTCCACACCCTCTGAGAGGTGTACCCAAACGAAGACCAAGACCAGGACCTTCGTGGTGCTGATTTTCAACTGCCTGCCAACACACAGGACACAGCGGCAGAGCCAAGGGTTGGGGCACCCAGAGGCAAATTAAGTCCCTCCCTCTTGTATACCCTGATCTCCGTGCACTTTTGGTCTCTAGGTATGTGGCTTCCCTACTTTTGTACCAGCTGTTCCCCTACATGGATTCTGGTTTTTTTCCCCTCTAGCAAGCATCAAAGACTTTTATGTCCACTCTGTGGTCAATTTAAAAAGCAAATGATAGTTTTACTGATGGAATCTAAAGATTAGGAATAGATAACATATGTAAGTGCACTGAGGACGAAGGATCCTGGTGCCTGTGTCTACTGAGAAATGAGTGCTGTCAGCTCCTGCCAGAACAATGGAACTATTTGCTCTTTGGCTCCAAAGGACTTGTGCTTTTTTGAGATTTATAGTCTACTCTCTGCTTCTTCCTTTCCTTCTCTCTTTTCCTCTGATCAATCTCATCTATAGCCTTTCATATATGATGCCCATAGGCCAGGACGCTCTTTGCTCTTTATTCTTTCATTTTTTAGTTCACAAATTAATCAACTTTTCATGGATGACTACTCTGTGCTCACCTCTGTACTAAGCTCTGAGAGTACAAAGATAATTAAGAAATGGTCCTTGTTTGCAAATGCTTGCATCCTGCGGGGATAATGCAAATGCTTGCATCCTGCAGGGATAATTGATACATAATCATATTATGAGATGATGTGATCATTCTGATTCTCAAATGTTTGTTGAATGAATGAGAGGAATAACAGTATTTATAAAGTATACAGAGAGAGGGAGTGATCGCTTCTGGTGAGATGGAAAAAGCTTCACAGAGGAGGTGACATTTAAGTAAGGATCTTTCAGGATGCTAGATGAGGAAGTAAGGGAGATAGAAAAGCCATTGGAAGCAGGAGAAACGCTTGAACGATGGCACAAAGGGGTGAGGCTGTGCGATGAGTTCACAGAACATTGTGACCAATGTACCCAGAAGAGCAACTCTCAACATTGTTCCTTGCTAGCCCAAGACACGTCTGAAGGACCTGCCCTGGGTGTGCCCAATTCCCATCATGCTAATTGTCACTCTGAAAATTATTTCCTACTCAAGAAACTGTTTGAAATGGAAAAGACTGTAATGCTACAACAGAAATACTCTTGAGGCTATACTACTACATTAAAGCAGCACATACTCAGCACCTTCAGAATTTTGACAATTATTCCATCAAATTATTTATGACACGACTCATGACTGACTACAACACACCAGCGCACCATGGATAGAACTACTGGGCTACTACACTAGTGGTGCTGTAACTATTGGATTACTGCAGTAATAGTACATGGATAGCACTACAGATAGTCCTAGGTATCCATATGAGCATGACTTACATGCTCAGAATCTTGTAAGGTGACCCCTATACATTCATGCGAGGGCTGTGAGGCTTCCGCTTTGGTAAAAATGTGATGAGGCTGGCGGGGCCCCTGGAAACATAGCCCTTGGTGTAGCATTTCACAGTTTCTCAGCCTCTCACATAAAGATGCCCAAATATTCTGTGGCTGGGGTGGGAACACTGTGGCGCATCTCATTTCCGCAATACAACATGGAACTGCAGGAACACTGAGTATAGTCAGGTCCTGTGGAAGGGCAGGGCAGAGCAGGAAAACTAAATAATTCAGGAAAGAGGTAAAGGAAAGATGTCAATTGAGTTGTGGAATCCTGGAATCGATGTAGTCTAAAATCGAATACATAGCAATGGACCTGATTAGGCTTCTCCCGTTTTGAGAAAGACAATGTCTACATTCTGCACCTGTCTTCCCTGGGACCATGTGTGAGGCTCCATGCTGATCTTCTCTTTATCATCAGTTGCTTAGGACTTTGTCTCTACCTCCTCCCCTTCTCAGCTAAAAAGTGTCTGGCTTCATCATTCCATTCCCAGCTAATATGAAAAGCAAAACTGCAGGCATAGTGGGAGCTCTTTAATAAATTTGATCAGGCAAAATATGTGTATTTTAACAGGAGAGTTTGAAGTCCTGTTGCTCTCTCCTATCTATATAGTTGGCTCTGTTGCTTGCTAGTCTATTGATGAAAAGTTACCAAATGCAAAAGCTGGAAGTAGAAATGCAAATGTAATGGCTCATTCCATATATATTTTTTGTGCACTTACTACACAGAAGCCACTGCCGAGTCCATACGTTATGAGTACACACATTACTTCAGTTTATGCCAAGGGAACAGACTCAGAGAGCTATGGACTATTATGATTCTTCAAAGGAGACTTTCTAAGTGCAATAAGAGAGCCTAGAATGTTAAAAGATTGACAGAGAACAGAGGCACAGATGTGGAATGGGGGGCATCTTGAAAAGCTAAAAAGGTGATGGTTTCACTGTTTTGACATGGATGGGAAAGGGGGCAGGGCGCAGGTTCAAACAGGCATGACCAATGAACAGGCACAGATGTCTTCCTAGGAAAGAGCCGTGGAGAAGATGTTTGGAGCTATTGTCACTTTCTGACTTGAGTTTTGAAGAGTTGGATAAAAGGTTCCTTTCAACCTTTCGAAACCCTGTTTTTGTAAGATAGTAATATTGCCACCAGGTGGCAGCAGCATGCAGGGTTCTCCAGAGAGACAAAATCGGTAGGATAGATAATCCATAGACGGAGATAAAGACAGAGACATATGAGAGAGGATTTATTAGGGGAATTGGCTCACACAACTGTGGAGGCTGAGAAGTCCTAGGACAATCCATCTGCAAGCCGGAGACCCCGAGATGTCAGGAGTGTGGCTCAGTTCAAGTTCAAAGGCCTCAGAACCAGAAAGCTGATGGTATAACTTTCAGGCCTAAGAATCTGAGCAGCAACTGATGTCAGTCTTGCAATCCAAAGGCTGGAGAGCCTGGAGTTCTGATGTCCAAGGGCAGAAGATGAAGAGTCTGTACTCTTGCAAGATGCAGGACAGAGAGGAAATTGCCTTTTCCCTGCATTTTTTGTTCTATCCAGGCCCCAGCCCATTGGATGGTGCCCACCCACATTTGGGGCAGATCTTCTCCACTCAGTTCACCAACTCACACACCAGTCTCCTTGTGAAACACCCTCACAGATACACCCAGAAATAATGTTTTACTAGTTCTCTAGATATTCTTTAATGCAGCCAAGTCGACACCTAACATTAACCGTCACACCTACCTTGGGACACATCCACAGCGGCACAGAACCAATCCATGTTTTCATCCTGGTGAATATGTGGGCAATGGGTGGATGGTCCCAGATTGCTATTGTCATTTCTCTTATATTGACTTTGAACTTGGAAAAAGCCCAAGTACAACAAGATTTTGGGGGAAGATGACAAAATAACAGCATTCCTATACTATGTACACATTTACATGTTGTATTAGTATGTTTGTGTTGCTATAACAGAATACCTGAGACTGGGTAATATATAAAGAACAAAGGTTTATTTGGCTCATGATTCTGGAACAGCTGCATCTGGCATGGGCTTCAAGCTGCTTCTTCTCATGGCAGAAAATGGCAGGCAGCCCACGGGTACAAGCAGATCACATGGCGAGAGGAAGCAAGAGAGAGAGTGGGGAGATGCCAGGTCCTTTAAACAATCAGCTCTTGCAGGAACTAATAGAGCAAGAACTCACTCACTGCCTCCTACCCCCAGGCAAAGCGTTAATCCATTCATGAGGCATCTGCCCCCATGACTCAAAAAGTTCCCAACACTGCCACATTGGGGATCAGATTTCCACATGAGTTTTGGGGGGACAACACATCCAAACTCTATCACGTGTATACAAGGGTAATTCAAAAAAAGCTTATGGAAAGATTCATATTATATTTTAATTCTATTTTCCATAAACTTTTTGAAGTACCTTCATATATATGTAAATACAAACATAAAGAGATACCTTTTCCAAACACTACTTTAAATGTTGTCCTAGCATTTTCTGCTGTACGTGGTACTGAGAGTCCAATTCTTTCCTTTATTCTTTTTACAAGCTCTTTAAAAGTCCTCCTATGGGACCCATAGGTTGGCAGTGTAACAGTGGTCTATTGCATTAGGGTCCTGGCACAGAGTGAAGGGGGAGGGGCAAGGAGAAGGAGACATCTCTTTAGTTTCACCTAAGATACAAGATCTCTACCCTTCATCTCTGGGACTTTTGAGTGTCCTGAGGAAAACTGGACAGGAATTGAGCTAAATCCTGAGGCTCAAGCAAAAAATCACTCCTACTAAAAGGTCAATGGGCAATGTGCTGTCTACTGCTGATGTGTGGTTCTCATTGCCAATGGGAAGGATAACCGGTATAGTTTCTCGGCTCTAACAATAAACATGGCATTTACAAATAAAAGAAGTCTGAAAAGGT